TAACTCTGAACAATACAGGGTTGACTATCTCAGGGGCGATGTTGTGTTGGTAAAATACACTTTAAGTGTTCCTGAGACGATAAAAATATTTTTAGCTCCATGGTTTTTTTTTTCTTTTTTTTTCATAATGAATGGATGGACGTGAGTCGCACATAACTTACATATTAAAATCCTTTACGCTTGGCAGGCTTATCAATAGCAAGGTATATTGGTAAGATATTTCAATTTTGAAAAGTACTTTATACGAAGCCTCTTCGCCATTTGCATTTCGAATACGATATTAGAATAACGTCGAAGGAAACAATGCCATTAAGATTCATGAGACTGGAGATAATTGCAAATAATTGCTGTGGGAAATGAAGAAAGAAAGCTAAAAATTCAAAGGCCATTTATTTAAATGATTATACTATGGTTGACGGTGGTGGAATAATGGGGAATGTGTTATAGATGCAGATATAACAGTGGTGGAGGTAGTGTATGTCGTTTTGTTAGTTAATTTATTTATTTAGTCAAATATAGTTAAAACTGTGTGACTTACAACGGAGAGAAGTAATACTATTTATGAACGATTTCTTGATCTCTGGGATTCCTACCCCAACTGACGTACTCGTAAGTTTTTATGAACACAGATGGAAAGGAGCGTTTTTGGTAAGAATTATTAAGTAAGTATTCAACACCATGTAATAAAAACATCTAAATGTAAATCAACTTTAGATTTTGTCTATTATCCCTCATCGTCTCCTTCTTAAAGGAATGTACACTTACTGTCGCAGGAAAATCGAGGATGATTATTTGAGTAACTAGTATATTCCTCACTGAGCTCTAGAAAAGTGCTCGGATAGTGAAGCTACATTCGTGTTCAGAGATAAAACGAAGGGCCATCTTCATTTGCTCAATAGATTAGGAAAATCAGGAAAAAAGCCTGATCGAAATGGAGGAAATTAATCGAGAATCTGAAGTACAATACATGTTAAAGGCGTATGTAGTCTTTTAGAAGTATACATTTTAAATGGTAATTAACACATTTAGTGTCATTGTTAAAATAAACACTAATTTCCTTTTTGATGGTCAATATAGGCTCTAATTGTACAGAAACGCTTATCAACAGAATTGTTATTTATGTACCAAATTCGAAAAACGAATGATTTTGGATGAGGCGTTTACCAAGTCGGAGCTGAGATTGGTAAACTAACCGGGAAATAATTAAAGACGTTGTCATTGCCAACAATATTATTTAATGTAAGAGCAGCTTTCGATGGTTTAGCCATCATCATCAGTTGTCTGCTGGATGGAAGCCACAAAACGACTACCTTACATTAAATAATATTGTTGGCAATGACAACGTCTTTAATTATTTCATGAAAAATGCCAACGATAACACACCACAACACCTATAAACTAACCGGGTCCAAAATCATTCAATTTTGGCCGAGTTGCATACATCTATTTTTCGTATATTCACCTCCCAATTTTAGGTTTCAATTTGTAGAGAGATTTCATTTATACCATGAGGTTTCGTCGTATAGAAGCAGATGTTTTTGTACATTATCCCCTCTGAAGTTGACAGTAATGTTACAATTGTTAAAGCGTGTAGCATTTGCAGATGGTTTTGGCGATTTTTTTCGTAAGTTTGGAGTGCCATATTCCAGAGATTATAATGGAGGAAGCGGAAGCTGCTACCGAGAATTTTCTTCCTCAAAAATTAAAGGGTTCATACGAAAGATAGTATGGACTCTCTTTTAAAATGGAAAAGAGAGAAACATGTTACCGAGGTAAATAAAACAACTATGCTGGCATATCTCTATGAAAAAGTAATACACTTTCAATTTCTGTTGAAACTCCTAGCACGAGTGCTTGATGTACAGAAGACGTAACAATTACAGGTATTATATTTCAGAATATCCGAAATTGTGTTTTTAATATGAATGTTAACTATAAATACGTTAAAAACCTTCTGTATTCGAAAAATAATAAATTTCTTTGCAAATGTGGCACCAATCATTTCTATATTGTGTTGTTTACTTGACGTTGCGATGGTAATATAAAATTCATTCTTGGCCTAGGTCGCCAAAGCTCACCTTTTTAGCGTATAAATGATATACCAAATACGGTTTTGAAATGATACGAAAAAAGATTCGCACATTAACTTTTCTATCTATTTTAATCACTTAATGTCATGTAATAATATTTGGTAAAATAATTTACATATATTGTTAGTGAATTTTCTGTAGTGAGCTGTTGATACATACACCTGATGAATATGTATTCTATGTCGATTGTTATAGATATAGATATCGAGGTTGGTTGAAATTTTTTCTCGCTCTTCAGTATATTATTTTTTTTAAGAATCACTGATTTGTAAATCAAGAGGCACGGCAATGGTAGAATTCCCAGCTTAATAAAGTGAGGCTTACAAGAATCACGTGGGTGGGATTTGCTTAAACTTCGTTTCCGTGATCTAAACTGTCTGGGAGATGTAGAATTCCCTTCCCCAGAATAAATATTATGACATCTCAGCAGGGAAAGGGCATTTGCTAAGCATACCCGAACAGCATGAAGAGTGAGTGAATTGGAAAGAGTCCTGAACAGGTAGCGTGATGAGCTGAACTTTTGTGTTCGACTCGTTCCCCTTGAGGCTTGACTGCATTGAGAGACCCAAAAACGTTAGCTTAATATCAATCAACTGCACATCGTTCATTTTGAAGCGAATATACACTTGTTTCTTGGAAATGCAAAACTGCATTGAAACTGTTGTCCTGTCCTGGTAGGACTGATTTTCAATGATGTAGATGCTGTTAACGATATGTACGGCGGTAGGTTTTTTCTGCGTATTTGGCATCAACGCGAGGAATGTAAATACACCGTCCATCGTAGGGGCGAGGTCAACACGGAAGTGGCAAGCGCGTTGGCAAGCGTTGGCTGAGACGCCGTTAGCGGGCACACAAATGCAAACGGAATCCGTGTGATTTGAGCAGCCCGGCGTGGGAGAGGCGAGGCGAGGCGGAGGGCGCGCAGACGCCGGTCGGGGAGCGTATGGGCGCGCGCCGGTTTTGCTTTCATCGCAGCAGCCAGAACCGTTACGCGGCCGCGTCTAACGTGGCGTCTCCGGCAACGAGATCGAGGCCATGCGCCGTTTGGCCCTTTCGTGCTCATCACGGATCACTGCTCGGGCTGTCAATCGGTCATTTGTTGCCATTACCTCCATCGAAGGCGAGCGCACAGAAAGGGAGGCGGGAAGGGCCGTGCCTCTCCCCACTGAAAACTTCGCCAGAGACTCCGTATTCCTACGCAAGTAAACATTTCTTTTCCGTAAAACGATCAATTCCTGATCCTCCTCTCCCCTCCCGTTTCAAACTGACAGTTTCAGGAATTGATATATCATATTTGAGGAAGAAGTCCTCCGAACCGTCTCGTAACCCTCCAAATGGTCCAACTGTATTGAATTAAATGCACCATTAAACTTATTTAATTGTACTTATATTACATTTGCCGAGCATAGTGGCTCACTGCGTAGCGCGTTGACTTCGCAATCGGTAGGTACGTGGTGCCAATCCTGACCGGGGATTTCGTGGTTTCCCTCAGTCATAAGGTGAATGCTGGGATGGTTCGAAAATGCCACGATCCCCACCCTCCACCCCACCAGCCACCTCCCACCACCATCCTAGTCATTTCACCCCTCATTGCCCCCTTAACACTTCATTCAGCTTTCCCTGTAAAAGGCATGAGGCCTTTGCCCTTAATGGATCTAAGTTGGCTAATAATAAATAATAATAACAATAATAATAATAATAATAATAATAATATTTTTATTTAATGAATAGCAAATAAGCCCTTTATGTTTAAAAGAAAAGGAGGCCCAGAGGGAGGCAGAGGAGTAAAGAAGCGTAGGTGATCCCTTTTGTTCCAGGCTGCGCACGCCTACCCCTCCGTTGACTCCTAAAATTATTTTTAATTACATTGTTTTGATTTCAAAACATTGAACGGACATTAAGTATAAATTCATAATATCATATGTAGCCCACATCATCCAATAAACGCCATCACACGACACTGAATATTTGTATTGAAAGGTTGCATCAAACATTACTGAAGAAGGATTTATCTTAATTCAATTAATTGAAGTCACTTTTGTACGAGATCAAAGGTGGTCTTCATATATTGAATATTCACCACGCATATATTTTTAAATATATCTCAAACCTATCATCCTGATTTTGAAGTCATAACAATTATGGTTATTTATTAGTTTTGAAAACAGTAGAAACTATGGAATGTGATTTTTGCAACATTTTCGCAACTGTAAATTCGAATTTGTCCGCTCTCTTTTTGTTATATTTCAGAAGTCATCAGGTCGCTGTATTATGTCGCAGCCACGACAGTTTGAAATTCTCAAGAGTAACTTCTCATTGTTAGGCAAAGTTTCTGGGAATGAAGGGCGGCTTTTTATTGTCAAATTTGTGTTTCGGTATTGGCATTAAAATAATTAAGATTCTAACACGATTAGTCATGAGTTTTGCAAGTGATTGCTGAGATGTGTAAATGTGGTCAGTAACAGCGGTATTATATTGCGTAACGTTGTTAATTTTACATGTATAACGAAATTACTTCTGAAGAAGAGGAAAAGAAATCCTCGAAAAGTAGAGAGAGAGAGAGAGAGAGAGAGAGAGAGAGAGAGAGAGAGGGGGAGGGAGGGAGAGAGGGAGAGAGATGGAACGACTTTTGACATTAAACAGAGTTTTTAATAAATGTGTTTTTAAACTCAATTAAATGAAAACATGTTGCTTTTCTGCTTAATGTTTGTTTCTGGTAATTTGATAGTGTCTCAAGCCAGTCTAGAGAAAAACCCTACGAGTTGAAAAGGGATGTGGAGATATGGAAAAGCGTTGCAACCATGGCGCGAGATGGGCCGCGAAAGCAGAGCGAACGGGGATCAAAGGGAGGCGAGTGTTCCACATGGCGAGAGGCCGAGGTGTGCGGCGGCGCGGCCGCGTGGGACTGACCTGCGCGGCTGGAGGCGCGGCCGTCGCCGCCGCCCGCATCGTTGACGTTGCGGTACCTGTGCAGCAGCGCTCTCCGCACGGCGTGCGGGTCGGCCGTGGCGAGTGCGCGGCCCTGGCGCTCCGAGAACCACGCGCGCGACCCACCTCCGGGCCGGAACATGCGCGCCACCGCCGCCCTGCGCACACACACACATACACACACGTCGGCACGCGCGCTCCACTGTTCTGCGCTGCGCGCAACGAGAGTGCACAACGCAAGGAGTTTCAAATGAGGCATCAGGAAATTGAGAAGTGGGGCAAATGTTTTTTAAATGTGATTTAATAAATGAAATACATGAAATACATCATAGATACTTATATTTATGATGGGATGAAAACGCATGTTTACGGTGAAGATGAAAAATAGGTATGGAAAACTAAGATGTCATCTTTATTTTTATTGGTACTGGGGCAATATTGTACATTGAACATAATGACTTAAGCATTCAAAAGTAAATGTATTAAAAAAAGAACAAATTTACAAGTCATTTACAAGTACGACGAATAAAATTACATTCTTTAAAAGATGATATTTAAAAAAATTATAGCGAAATTTTGCTCTATTTAATCCATCTTTAACACCCTTGTAACAATTACACACTCCTCCCCAAAAGAACGTTCTTTTTTGTATCATTTCATTATTTACGACTACGTTATATTTGGAATTATGCATGCAGTGACGCATCAATGTCTCCTCTTTGTTTCACTTTTCACTTTGTTTCAAACAGTCTCCTCTAATATTATTAGATTTTGAATGTAAAAAACCACATGATGTATATTCTTAGTTAATTTTAACTTTAATTGTAAATGGACAATTAAATAGCTTCATTACGTCTTTGCCTCAACATGGCTCGGTCGTTTTTTTCGTCTGGCATCAATCTCAAGGAGTGTGGTTGACCCCGCGGGGAAGAGAAGGTCTTAAACTTTTCTGGAAGTGTGGTTGTTAAAAATTTGGGGGCAGTTTCAAACCCCTGGAGACAGCCAAGTAAAACACTCCGCAACGAGCAGAAAGGTCGGAAATATCGAGACAGAAAAGTGTACTGTGCCAAAACCAGTGAATGCAGAACAAGACGCTCTTCGTAGGGATTAGGATGTCATCTCGGAGGCCAACAGCAACAGGCAACAATTACAGCAGTCTGCAGAGGAAGAATTACTCATCCACAATTTATTTGCATTATCAGTGATATTTTACATATTCTTGATGACTTTTTTTCTGAACTCGGCACATTCCACTTCCTGCTTGAAGAATCCAGTAAGAGAACTCAACTTTAGTTCCAATTTCAGTACTATGTAAAGCATCTGCCGTTAAGGTCGATTATAATAAAACATAATGTGGGATCAGTGAGCTCATTTCTGTTACAAACGAAGTAAAAATAATAGATAAACGTTTTTCTATAGGTAGCCCATAAATAACTCCACCGACACTATTGTGAATTAGTTTTATTTGTTCGCTCTTTGTAAAAATTGTGTAATAAGTACAAACACTTTCCCAAACATATTAAAATTTTTAATTAATTCCACTTCATAATTTAAATTTATCTATGTTATCTGCTATTATGTTTCCTTATTTTTTACAATTGTAATCCTAGCACAAAAAAGTCCATTGTGATTCGTTACAAGCACTAGACAATATATACAATAAATACAACTATCAAGGAATTACAAGGAATTGTGAATTAGCAACTACAGGTTTATTAGAAATACACGTTCATACACCTGCAAGTGGCTTTCACAGAAATCTTGTCAGTAGGTCGCGTCCCAATCGTTCGGATGCACAGGTTTAGATCCGCGCTACTCCCAGTGGCTCTCGCTTAAGGACCGGTGTCTTTACAAAGTATTTGCGAACGACCGGTCGGCAACAAATTCAAGATCTAACCCGTTCGGAGAAAGGCCCGTCCCCCTCGGGATTCGGTTTAGGATGGTGAACGAGGAGGAAAAGAATTTGAAGCATGTGTTATAAACAGCTGCAATATACTGATCCCTTTACGGCCGACGGGTCGGTGAAGGGTCAAAATAACAGGCTCAGAAAATGTTCAGAACACTGTAAATTGAGGCTAATATTTATCTCTTTTACTAGCAGATAAGATTTTTTAACTCAATAGTAATATACGAAAACAATGAGGACTATTGAACGTATGTGTTAAGTAAAGTGAGTATTGCATTAACTTGAAATATCTCTCGTTAAGGACGCTTATAAGCAGCTCTGGCACATGCGAGGCATTAATATTGGGGAGTGGCACTGCAGAAGAGGGCAATTTCAC